CCGGATAACGGGATAAATGATCAACTGCTTTAATGGCTGGAGAATCATTTTTCATGTAAATAATTTTGAAATCAAAATCAATGAGTTGAGCTATCAATTTATTCAATCTAACTGTATTAGGCTTGAAATTTTTGAATGATTCCAATGCCTTATGATCACTGAAAATTTTGAAAAATCGACCATACAAAAATTCTGAAAAATGTTTCACAGATTCAGAGATGCCTCTAAGTTCTAATTCTGAGGCGCTCCAAGATTTAAGGGGGGGGGGGCAAAATTTTGGAATAGAAGCCTATTGGATGTAATTTATTATCTTTTCCTTTTTGAGCAAGGATACTTCCCGTGGCGATATTGGAGCTATCAACTATGAGAATTGTTTCTAACGTTTCATCAAAATTTTGTAGGACTGGAGGGGAGGTAAATTTTTCTTTGAGAAGAGCAAAAGCGGATTCTGCCTCAGGTATCCATTCAAAGTGTTTGTCATCACTATTTTTGACTACATCGTAAAGAGGTTTGCAAAGATTGGCAAAATGAAAGATAAAGTTTCTGTAAAAATTACAAGAACCTAGGAAAGAGCGTAATTCTTTCAAATTTTTGGGAGGTTTCGCGTTTTTAATAGCGCTGAGATTTTTCGCCGCAGGAGAAATGTCGGAGTTAGAAATATGAAAACCGAGCACATCTAAACTGTTATGAAATAATCGACACTTATTTGTGCGAACGCGTAATTCGTGATGAAGTAGGCGTTCCATAACAATCTTTAGAAGTTTAGCATGTTCTTCTTTCGTCTTGGAATAAACATACAAATTATCAATATATATTACGACTCCATGCCACAATAAATCTGCGAAAACACGATGTAAAGCGCGAGAAAAACTAGCGGAGCCATTACAAATACCCATAGGCTGTCTTTTAAATTGATACAAGCCGGTAGGCGTTGTGAATGCGGAATATGGTCTTGATTTCACAGAAAGTTCCTGCTGATAGAATCCTTGAAGAAAATCAAACTCGCTGAAAAAATTGTTTTTACGCAATTCGTTCAACAGATTTTCGGTTCTAGGCAAAGGATATCTATCTTTCACAACTTTCTCATTCAATTTTTTGTAATTGACGACTAATCTTTTCTCATTCGTAGTCAATTCTGACGCGCGCTTGGATGTATCTTTCTTTGCCAAAAAAGCAGGAGCCGCGTACGGCGACATAGAATCTTCGACTATGTCTACCTTCTTGAAATCTTCGATGATTTCATTCAGGTGTTCTCTTTCGATGAACGGCAGGGAAAAAGGGGGTTCATGCACAGGGATATCATCAGTTAATCGAATGACTGATGGCATGATTTTCGCTTTTTTTAGCTCGAAATTATTTGAAGCAAAGATACTCTTGCAAGAATTGGAGAGATCGATAATAGATTTAAGAGTATCTTTATCAAGATTTGGGTTGATATCTAATGGAGTACCGTTCGTATCAGTAAAAAAATGGTCCTTGCCACTTCTAGGATGATCTAGGTTAGCAGGAGGCGTATGAGAGGTTTCTACTTGAAGATTGTTTATGGAATAACAATCTGAATTGATGTCAGAATAGAATGTTCTAACATGATTAAACGGAAATTGTCCTGGGCCCTTTGAGACCTCACAATCACCAGTGAGAGACGAGCCAGCAATTCTGGTTGCATACGCTCGCGGCTTCTCAGTGGGGAAAGTTCGGCTCCTGAGATGGCCAGAGAAACGCGAATTGACAGTTCTAGCTGTCGTAGATCCGATATGTTCTCGGGCTAAGTAGGATACTCGTTTACGAATACCAGCCATTCTAGTGGCGTACGCATTATTCAACGATGAAGTGTTTTCCGTTCTAGCGGATGAAACACCAAGAATGCGTAAAAAAAGGGGAGAGTCCTTTAAGACGGACGGACGTTTCAGCGCTGAAGCTGAAACCGATTGAATGGATAAATCCGGATAATCCAAATTTTTCCTGAATAAGACCTCACCTAAGATAGTATCTTTTGGCAAGATGAACGGTTGAAAACCCAGGTTTTTGACAACCAACGCACTCGAGTTGCGAAATATTTCGCATGTCGGAACAAAAATATTTTTTTGCTCGAACAAGGAAAGGTCGGGCTCCAAGAACAGTCTAGTCGTATAATTCGGACAATCTATGGTAATTGGCACTGGAAATTCTTGCAAAGGGGGTATTAACGTGGTTTCAGTTGCTTTTACCTGAACATTACATGAGAACGAAATACAATTTGCAAAATGTTCAGAAGATTTTTGTAAGAGAGGTACAGAAAAAGAAGATGATTCTTCTTGAAAAGTAACTAAATTTTCCTGGAAATCAAGGCGGGCGTTAGTAAGTCTCAAAAAATTATCTCCAAGAATTAGCGGGTACTGGAGAGATTTAACTACATAAACAAAAATTTTGAATTTGCGAGACGCAATTTGAATCATCAAATAACCTTTTCGAATTATATTCAATTTATCATTTGAAGCAGACTTGAGCGTAATAAAAGAGCGTTTACAAGGTTTAACTAATTTAAAAAAAGAATCAGAGCAAACACAAACCGAAGCTCCTGTATCTAAAAGAGCGTAAGATAAGTTATTATGAATTGATACTTCAATGCAAGAAGACACATTATTACTTAATTTAAAAATTTCTTGTCTTTTTGGAGCAGGTTCTTTCTTTTTCGCTGAAGGCGGAATTTTTAAGGGTGGAAAATCTGAAGATGAGGGTGGGGGTTGCGTACCTTGATTTTCAGGAGGTTTATCAATTCGAGAAATACACTTCAAAACATTAGGAGGGTTGGAAGTAACATTTTTTCCTTTGATTTTGCGACTGAAACCACTTTTCAAAAATTCTTTTTCGAATTTTTCGATGGACCCTTATAATATTTGCTATATCTACACGTTTCAGAAGGACAGTCATGGATATAATGACCAACGGATTTACAATATCTGCACACGATTATAGAGCAATTTAATTTTTCGTGATTACCAGCACAAATTGGACACGTATTAGAAGACTTAGACGGGGGAGGAGGTCTATTTTCCTGATTTTTTTCGAAAAATTTCTTAGATTTCGGCCTAAATTTTTTGTTTTGTTGACTCTCAACGGACAAAATTTGAGGGACTGATGGAGGGTTAGGAGCAGATTGCGTAGAAAGGCTGAGGAGAGAATCTCGCGCTAAGAATAATTTCAGCGATCTATCAAATTCGTCCTCGTATTATGCGGATACAAAGAAAATGTTTGTGCAATATCATGAGGTAATGAAGACATAATATAAAAAATTACTTTGGAATCTGATGGGGTCGGGGAAAGCTTGGCACATAGTGCCTTAACTTTGAAAACATGATCTAGAAGTTTCGTGGGATCAGACAATTTTAAATTTCTTAATTGCAATTCAAGTTTATTTTGTCGGTCTTCATCTTTAAATTGGGCAAGAAAGCTAGTCTTGAAGGTTTTGTAATCTAGTTTTTGAAATTTCGCGCGCAACAATTTAAAAAAGGAGAGAGCTTCTGAAGTAAGATATTTCTCTATTATATATGGAATCACATCCGGCTTCCACGAATTAATTGAACATGCTGTGTCTATTGAGTCTAAAAAATCTTTGACGTCTTCTGAACCTGAGAACTTTAGAGGGTGGATGAGGGGTGTTTTTAACGCATTCTCAATTGTCGAAGTTACAACTTCTGGGTTGAACGTTTCAGAGGCCATGTTTGCTACAGAAAGGGGGGGTGAAGAGGTGAGATTTGAAAAGTTATGGGGAGGGACACTAAAAGAGCGGGGGTTTTTTGAGGTGTTTTTCTTGGGTCTTCCCCTACCACGTTTAATTGGGGTAGAAGAGGTGTGGGAAGCCGCAGACGGAATTACGGTTGTATCAATGGAGTTGTCTGACTCGCTCAAATCAGACATTACATTTTAAGGGAAAAAAAAAACAAGAGATAAATCACCAAGAAAGAAGTTATTTGCACACTGGAATTTGTAACTCAGAAAGGGACAACCTGAGTGATTAAAGATGCCTATGTGCCCAAAAATGGAGTATGTAGCCTGGACTGTGCGCAGAATTGACCCAAAGTGGAAACGTTGGAATACGTTTAAGTATTCGTACGATGGGGTATGCTCTCGACCCGTGCGGTGGGGTATGCTCTTGACCCGTGCGGTGGGATATCCGTGTAGATATCGCAGAAGAATAAAAAATAGAAAATTGTTCCAATTATTAGTCGAATTATGAGTAACGAATTCCGTCGATTCTAGTCACTTGTATTCCACGCAAAAATACCACGCAATGATAACGGAAAGCGAACGGTTCGAATTGAGCTGAAAAGTCAATTAGAGGGTTTTGGCACCATGTCACGTCAAGAGGATTTCTCATGTTTTAGTCCGACTGAGAAATCTAAATAAATCTTTGACGCGGCGAGTTCGTGGGAGAGCGGAACAAAATACGAAGAGATGTTTTAGCGGGTACGTATGTATTCGCGTGTTTTATGAAAATGAAATCGTTACAAAGGTGACAGATACTAGGAGCACTAAGGAAGGCTGTGCAGTTGGAATATACAGATTCCTTCGTGGTGGAAATCGAAGTGCCGTTCCGAGCCTCCTCCGTCCAACGTGGAGCTCAGGCCCGCGAGAGTCTTATTTTTCAATCCATCTCGTGACGCTGGCGATCAAAAAAACAAGATAAAGATAGATGCGTACGACTGATCACAGCAACGAGTAAGTGAAGCTTGCTCGAAGCTGGGTTCTGAAAATTCATAGAGAGAGACCGAAAATATGGGAGAAAGGGAGATAGAGAATCTCTATGAAAAAACGCGTTGCGGTATACGCGACACACCCCAAAAGCGCACATGTTCTTTTGTGCTTTTCTGCATTTTGAATTTCACCGTGTTACGGGTACGTTACAAGCCTGAGTGGCGTTTGACAAACGTAACACTTGGACGCTGTTAATAATTTTTGTAACTTTGTTTATCTGGGCTCTGCGATACCTAAAATTTGAAAAATTTGTAAGTCAAACTTACATCACGGCAAACAGGGTACTCCCACTGGAGCAAGAGTCCATCGAATTTGTGCTTGCTCAAAAATGCAACCACACTTTCAACGAAGGCCTTCCTGTTGTCTACGTTTGTGACCAATTTGACGTACTTCTCGAAATTTTTGGAATCCTCAGCACCACCTAAGGCAATGAGGGTCTTGATTCCCTTTGTCTTCAACGCCGCAAGATCTTTGTAAAGCTCCTCTGAAATTAAGAGGTGGATGATCAGGTTCTATGTCACATTTTATTGCCAAAGGCTGGCTAAGGCTAAGCTGTATAGAACATAGTAAATGATTTAAAAATCAAACTACAAGCCGAAATAAACAAGTAATATATCAGACTAAGTAAGTAAGGGCCGGGCTGACCGGCGAGGCGCCCCTCAAGGGGCCAAGGCATCGGGCAGACAAATCCTGCCGTCGTGCACCCCGAAGTTGGACCGTGCTCCTTAACTTCGTACTATTGACACATTGTGTATCTCTATATATTATTATCTATACTATAAGCTCCGAGGCCTCCTAATTTTGCGAAACTGGTAACGCTTAGTTCCAGCGTTCTACCAAGCCGATTTTTATGATTTTTGCGGCTATCGACGGGCAATTGTCTCTAGATAAGCCAACTCTTTTCAGATTTTCAAAATATGGCCCAGGTTTTTTTATATTAAGTGGTAAAGTTGTGAATTCTCCCATTTAAACAATGTAAATTTATACTTTTTGTCATAGTTCGTTTGAGCGTTCTACCGGGCCGATTTCCAAGTTTTTTGCGGTAATCGACGGGTAATTGGCCCTAGATGAGCCCGCTTTATTCAGATTTTGGATATAGGACCCAGGTTTTTTTACAATCACGTTATAAAAGTGAGTGAATTTTCAGAATGCTCCGAGACTGCTACCGCTATACGCGGGAGGATGCGCAGTGGTCGAGGAGGTTGCGCAGTAGGTGTGTAGCCTGCGCATCAGCTCTACACTTATCTACACAAGATTCGCGCCAGATCTCTATCGTCAAGCGGTGACCGAGTTAACTAGGACACCGAGTGCGTATGCGTCTGCTTTATACCCGATGTGGGTTCGATCCCCGACTCATAAGGTCCTAATTATTACCTGATTATCATTGTTCATTGTTTTATTGCAATATTTCATCAAGCAGTCATTCCAAACGCGTCCTTTTAATTTTAAAGTAATTTTAAGTAAAGTTTAAAATTAAAGTATGCCTCATATCGTAATTTTTTAGGGGAAAAATAAAACTAACACTGATAGGAGGGTAAAAATAGGGCCGCGACCCATTGATGGCGCGGAGCGCCTTCAGGGGGTTGGGCCGCGTAGCGGCCAGGGGGCGTAGCCCCCTAGTCCTCTATATTCCCGCAAGGCTCAGCGGCGGTCTGATAGCCAACGGAAGGTCTTATCAAAGACTGTGGCAGACGCTGCAGAGCACGGATTTTCGGAGCACGGCCATGCCTCCACCGAGTTGGACTGTGTTGTTGCAATCTACACTGATAGGTAGCGCTGGCAGTCGCGCACACTACGAGTGATTACCGATTTTTCACAACCCAGTCGAACAGTGCAGACGGATTACTTACTGGCTGACTATGTCCCTCCCGCACACGATGACTGATATTTGAGTGTCCTCAAATATCAATCACCTCCGGGGATTGAACCCGGGACCTCAGTGTTGGCAGCGAACTGCCTTGACCACTACACCACTGAGGCTGACAATATCATTATCATCATTAATCATCATTAATATAAACTTCGAAGGATTCTGCCTTTTTCTATTTCACTCGAGGGGAAGTGTCCCCTCCCGGACTCTCTTCCCCACCCGGTGACTGACGCTGCGCTGTGTTGAACGGTTCAGCCTGAACCTTTCCCCTACGTCTGACCGTTCCCCACTCCTCTGTCAATCGAACCATGCCACCGCTTTTACGTATTGTCGCTCGCCCGCCCAGGTACATACCTACCGGCCAGCGGTCATTTGATGATAAATCTCGCTCATGCTCCTACGCAGCTACGCATTGATTACGCCAGGAAATTACTTTCCAAATAATTAGAATTTCTTCGATAATAGTTTTCTTTATTTATTCGACGGTATTTTTTCTCTGTTCTACTGTGATTTCCTTGGTTCTCTACTGTGTTTGACTGTGTTGAAATTTATATTAATACTCACACGGAGAAAAAAACTTCGTGCATGGGACCCGACGTTGAGATCATATGAATCTCTTAAAACTTGAGGTCCAGCTGCCGAAATTCGGGTAAGAAATCTGAAACACTTCGGTATGCACCGAGTACTTCAGATGTGTGACCTGAAACCTTCGGTATATACCGAACTACTTCAATTGTCTGACCCGAACTTCGGCAGATGGACCTTAACTTTTCGGATGCGTGATCCGAAAACTTGAGAGATCCATATGATCTCAGCTTCGGGTTCCATGCACAAATTTTTTTCTCCGTGTTTCCTTTTAGGGGACGCAACTAAAATTTCAGTAAATTTTTTTTCAGAAAAGTAAAGAAAAAAAAAAAAAAAAAAAAAAAAAAAAAAGTGGCTAACAGTGGTTCCTCACCTTTTCGTGGTGTTGGCTGTTTTTACTAAGTGGGAACCGTCCATTTTAAGATATAGTCTATTTCTTGCCCTGCCATTATTATTCTACAAGTTAATTGTGGAGTGAGAATTTCATAATGTTTTCTATGAAATCTTCAAAATATAGTGATAAAAAATTTGCAACTACTACAAAATCGGCTCGCGAAGCGAGCCGAATGTCACTCGCGTAGCGAGTGACCGGGTGTCCAGGGGGCTTAGCCCCCGGCTAGGCGTGACGGGCGCGCGAAGCGCGCCCAGAACGGCTGGTATCAGACTACATGTACATGGGCTGTCCCAAAAGAAACCGGACTTTTGTCATAGAAGGCGAACCAAGCGTCGTAATGAAGTTTTCTTGGGCTTGTTTGAAAGCTGATAAACTACTGAAGATGCTTGCTTTTACAGAATGCAAAAATTCGTCTTGGTAAGGAAACTACACGCTTTGGAATAAAGGAAAGTCAAACTCGAGTTGCGATATTTGTCTTTATTTCAAGAAAAATGTGGATACCACTTTAAAAAAAAAACCCAGGTTTTAAGTTAAAAACTTCGTTGATCTCTTATTCAAATGCTTAAAAATAAGGAAATTAACATTTTAAGCAGCTTACCAAGTCATCACCTATCCCCTTCAAAATACTCGCCAGCTTTGTCGATGCATTTTTTTCCACCGTTTCTTTAACTGCGGGAGAAACACTGGTGGAAATCCTCGGGTTTGAATGATCGCAATTATTCCTTCAAGGTGACCTCTGACCTGGCTCCGTGTGATTTTTTCTTATTTCCACGACTTAAATCTACCTTGAAAGGTCGACGTTTTCAAACCATTCCGGAAATTCAAGAGAACACCTTGTAGGAATTGCGATCATTCAAACCTGAGGATTTCCAACAGTGTTTCTCCCGCAGTTGAAGAAACGGTGGAAAAAAATGCATCGACAAAGCTGGCAAGTATTTTGAAGGGGATAGGTGATGACTTGGTAAGCTGCTTAAAATGATAATTTCCTTATTTTTAAGCATTTGAATAAGAGATCAACCAAGTTTTTAACTTAAAACCTGGGTTTTTTTTAAGTTGTATCTACATTTTTCATGAAATAAAGACAAAAATCGCAACTCGAGTTTGACTTTCCTTTATTCCAAAGCGTGTTGTTTCCTTACCAAGACGAATTTTTGCATTCTGTAAAAACAAGCATCTTTAGCAGCTTATCAGCTTTCAAAAAAGCCCAAGAAAACTTCATTACGACGCTTGGTTCGCCTTCTATGACAAAAGTCCGGTTTCTTTTGGGACAGCCCTCGTAGATGAGAAATAATATAAAACATACAAGAAACAAAGCAAACGTTTTGACCGCCTACAAACTGGGATCTTCGTCAGTGGATGTCTTTCAGTGCATTCAGTGCACTTTTTTATTCCAAGATGTAGTTACAAAAGATTGTGTATTTGTGCATGGTTTGCTAATAGTTTTGTAGCTGTTTTATACTGTAAAATATTTCCATTGGTTGTTCCTAATGCACTGAAGAAGATCGCAGTCTGTAGGCGGTCGAAACGTTTGCTTTGTTCCTTGTAAGTTTTATATTATTTCTCATCTCCATGTGGTTTGACATATTACTTGCTAATTTTGGCTTGTAGCTCGATTTTTCAATCAATTACTATGGTTTATATTATCATGTCCCCACTGTGGGAGGTAATTATAATTCGTCGAAATAAAATGATGCAAGTCGAATAACATGTATCTCGATTGAAACGTTTCAAAATTTCGTTTTTTATTTGGTTTTTTAAAGAGCAAATAAATATGAATGAAGGGGAACGCTTAAAATTTCACAAACTATACCGCAAATTATGAAGAGAGTGATTATTTAATCAAGTTGCCCATTAAAAAATGATTGCAACAATGAGTCTGTAACGTCACAAATTGAGGTGGCTGTTTTTTCGAATTTCACATTCAATTTCCGATACCATAGTCTAGTGTTGTATGCTCTCCTACCACTGTAAGTAAAAATTGAATTTTTTTTGGGGGGAAAGAATGCATGTAAAGAGCGACAAACTTGTTTGGCACCATTTTCCCTCAAAAGATACAATTCCGCTATAAGCTTAACCAGAACAACTGTCTGAGGGTGCTCGATCCCCACCGTTCTAAGAGGAGCTGGGTCTTCCTGGGACAAAGGTGATCACAGGGAGGGTCTTCTCCACAGAATTCTGAAAAATTGGCCTCTGTTAGATGCATTTTGAGACTATTTTCACTTGCAGAATTTAGCCATATGCAATACAAATTCAGATTCAACTCCTCTAATAATCCTGGAAAAACATTTCGAACTTTTTCCTTCTTTTCTGTCGCATCATGCAAGAAAACAAGAATATGTTCCGGTTCGGGGCCTATTTCCCAATGTCGAATTTTCTGCGGGGAGGGGGGGGGTCATCATTCAATATATTCTTCCATCTCTCTACTTACTAGTGTTGATTAAATACTAGGGGGTCTGCCCCCTAGCCACCGCGCAACCCAACCCCATTAGGTCCTTTTTCAAATAAATAGGTTGATTTAAATGATGAAGTATACCTGATTTGGCGCTTCGGACTTGAATGGACTTAGAATCGTTTCCGACGATTGCGAAGCCATAGATAAGGTGAGTGCAGTATTCTGATTGGGCGCCGGACAACAGGTTCTTCGGTGTCACCTTCCCCTGGTCATTCCCTCGGTCGACGCCCGCCCGCTCATCGTAGTAGCACATCACATGGAATGCTGAAAAGTTGAAATTCATTTTCAATCCATCAATACCCGCATTCTGAATTGAATCAGTGAGTTCGAAAACACACCAACTCGGAAAAATTTCTTTTCAGGAAACACCTAAAACTGCGCGGCGGGCGAAGAAGTCAGTTTAAGAAACACCTTTTTGGTGCCAAAGGACAAGTACTTAGAGACTTTGTAAAGCACCAAGTTGAAATCGATATACATCATGTTTGATGACAGAGAATTGAGCGTTTAAAAATTTCCGAGTTGGTGTGTTTTCGTTCTCACCGACTTTCAGATACTGATCTTTCATAGTCTGCCCTGCAAAGTTTATATTTTTTGACCTGAATAACGCTTGAATATCTATATAACTTGTTGGTACAAGGACGTACACTGAACCAAAAAAAGAAAAACCGCAAAATCGGATGGTCACCCGTTTCCCTTGAAATGGCCGAAAATTGGTATTTCCAATGAAATACTTCGATTCTTCCCTTTTCCCGTCGCTGTTTCGAGCACTTCCGATTGCAATTTCGAAATTTCCTTCTGCGCGCAGATGCTTCTATCCATAAGTGTTACTAAACCGTAAAAAAGTGAAAATCGAAAAAAAAACCCGAGTTGTTGTGTTTTCGAACTCACTGATTCAATTAGTGGAGATGCTAAGACTCTTCTCTTTTCCCCTGGCGAGACACCGAAAAACATGGTGCAAGCAAAGGAATAATAAATTGGAATTGAAATCAAAGAATACATTTTTTTAGGAGGAGGTTTGATCCATTGCCACAACACTCACGTGGGAATTAATATCCGTACAGAGTTACAATGACGTCCTTCGGATATGTTTCACGCTCGAGTTTTTTTCTTCTTCTTCTTCTTTCTTTTTTTTCTTAAAGAAGTCTTCCAAGCTTATGTCCCAAGAAACTGTCGGTTCTTGTAAAAATCATTCTGGACTTCTCGAAAACAGTATCGGTGCGGGAAATATTTAAAAAAATTTCTCCTTCACTTAAATCGAGGTTTTTCTCCTCGAAAAGGAATTTACCTATTCAAATATGCGTTATTTCACCTATATGTCACATACTGACAGATGGATCCAATGGGTGCTTGCTCTCTAAGTCAACATCACAGAGAAAACTGAATCGGTACCTTTCACTACCTCAAGCTGAAAGGTCACAGGGAGAGATCAGAGGATAACCTTAAAATACATCCGAAGGAAATGTATTTCAGCTCGGTCGATTATATCTTCCATATTTATCTTTGATTTTACAAAACTTCCACGCCTTCATTCGCAAGCTTCAGTTTTATAAAACTGGAATTAATTGGAGAAAATGGGTGAAAACTTCACAGAGGGGGGTGACGGCATGAAGAAAAATTAAATAAAATACCTGAAAAAAAAACTTACGTTGAGCTGCTGCTGCTGCTGGCTGTGCATCTGACGATACGTACGTCACTGCACATGCCCCCAGGAATAGGGCTATTTGAGGTAGATTTTTTAACATGTTCTTATTCTGAAACACATTGAAACAAGAACCGTTTGTTAGTTCCAGCATGTTATTATTTCCCTTACCCATCATACCGTGAAGTATTGATGAGTCCAAAAATTAACTGACTTAATGGCTATCCCTCATGATCGCTCGGTACGAAATGGCGCAGGAGCAAAGTTCTTTACACTGGAAAAAAAACACATTAGATCTACTACAGTCCAGACTCTTAAAACCATCGACAAGAAAAAATACTCTTGATTCAATCGGATTTTTGCTTAAATCAAGAACCAAGCCTCTTAATTTCAGCGGATTTCCTTTTGATTTAAGCTTTTTGATTGAATCAAGAGTATTTTTTCTTGTCAACGTTTTCAAGAGTCTGGACTCTAGATCCAATGTGTTTTTTTTTCCAGGGTAGACGTCTTGCGTGGAATTTGATCACTGAAATTTCTGACACCTAGTAAAATACTTGAGTGGAAAACCAGGGCCAGATTTACCATGTAGGATTGTAGGTGCAATACACCACAGAATTTTTTTATCCCCTTACGCCTCAACATAAACGTTTTAACTATTTCCTAACCACTGGAGTCTTCTTAGTTTCTCGTAGGCGCGTAGTTGAGTAGAGGAAAAATAGGGATTTGAGGACACTGCATTGTTGTCGGTTTGACTGTTGAAAAAGATGAATATTTTGTGAATCTATTTTAGATGTGACAACAATGCAGGTTGATATTTTTTGTCGAATTTAGGACAGGTTTCCAAAATTTTAGCAATTTAAGTTTCCAATTTTTTTTCAATTGTTGTCAAAAATCATACAGGGTATTGGTTGAATGAACTGGTTGATATTTTTTGTCAAATTCAATACAGGTTTCCAAATTATGGCAATTTAAGTTTCCAAATTTTTTTCAATTGTTGTCAAAAATCATACAGGGTATTGGTTGAATGAACTAAATTATTGTTGAGAATATTATCATGGGGAAAATGTTCATAAATTTAGCGTACATCTGGCCGATTGGTTTTTGCTACGCGACATTCTTAGCCTGGCTGGTTGAGCTCGCCACCCGAAACCATCCGTTGATAAGGTGGCCGTGTCCAGCTTATCGTGGGAAAGCACCCCCGCACAGACTTTTTTCAGACTCATTACCGCTGTGCTCATCCGCCTTATTAGTGCTGTGCTAGTATTTGTTCCCAAAAAAAAAAATGGACCACAACAATGGAATCTTGGACCTGCAAGCTCCGAAGATTGAAGAGGATACCGCCAATTCATCTCCGCCTCCGTAAGTGATTTAGAGCAATATTTAGAGTATGATCAACGAAACAGTCTCATATCTTGGAATTTTTTTTTCGGAGGAAAGAATCAAAAATTGGAAATCATTCTAAAATTCTGACTTTTTCACCCAAAAAAAAAATTCGAAGATCTACTTGTGAGTTTCGCAGACGAAAATGATTGCATGAAAAACCCATGGATTTCTTATCAACGTGTGATGATTTTAGATCAACATAACATAGCAAACAATTTCCATATTTAGAGTTCTGGATGATTCGTCACATTTTTACTTTACAACAGTTGGAAACAAGATCCATTTCAATAACAGTGTTGGAAAATACCACGGTAATGATATCACCATTGAAATCACACGATAACGCAAAGTTTTAGGGTCAATTGATTTTCTCTGAAAATTT